CACAAGTTTGTGCAATTTCTTCGCCGATTTTGCATAATGTTTCTTAGCCCCCCCCCCCCCCTTTCTCTCCCTCTCTCTCTCTCTCTCTCTCCTCCTCATATCTTTCTCCCTCTCTCTTACTTTTTGTTATCTCATTTACTCACTAATCGTTATTTTCTGGCTATACTGGTGCGTACGTTCCCCAATATCCCTTAACAACTCCACTGTTTTTCACTGCACAAGCTACATCAGGTGAGGTTGCACGAAACATGTTCAAATAAAAAGACATTCGCAAACATTCGAAAATATTCGCAATCTATCACTATCGTGCAAGCAATCCGATCTCTTATTTGGAGACGAACTCAAGACCTCATCCACCCCAATCCACTTTATGTCAGCACATCCATCTACTCTCTCTCTCTCTCTCTCTCTCTCTCTCTCTCTCTCTCTCTCTCTCTCTCTCTCTCTCTCTCTCTCTCTCTCTCTCTCTTAATGGGGACTATAGGTCATTAGACACAAACATCGAAAGATAGTGATCAGTATGATGGGGTTGGTATTAATATGCTCAACTGACAAAAGAAGCATCCACATTTTGTTTTGCTAGAACAGAGACGTCGCGCAGAGACGTCCAAATATGAACTACCAGATTGCATGCAGACGAGAGGGAATCTTAGGCAGTTAACCGACTTCAACAAGACAGATATCTCAGGAAGTTAGAAGTCCGACCGATATTTATAAATGGGTAATCCTAAGGCATTCTAAAAGCAGAGTGATTCATCTAAACAGACTGGCGTAAATTTCGTAGAGCTCTCCGAGTACATCGAGACACTCGGTGAAAAATAAGGATAGCAGATATAATATGTGGCCAATCCGCCCTTAATGAAAGCATCAGACATCAGAGGGGTTTGTTATTCTGACTTCGAAGTTCGTTCATTGCTTATAGCCGTAGAATGATGAATGGGTAAGGAACAGTGGCATGGAATAGGGATGTGTGGGGTCGCGTGTGCCCCCCCCCCCCATCGAATAGGAAAGAAAACTGACAAATTGAAGGGAAGGAGGTAAGAGGGTAAAGGTAACGTAAAAAGGTGATATGATCCTTTCCTTCATCCTCCCCCAATCGATGGCCTTCTTCATTCACATTCATCCACCAAATAAAAGAAGCCCATTACCCCCCCCCCCCCCCCTCCCCTCCCCACATCGAGTCAGTGCATCCTTGATGTCTGGTCCTACGCTACGCCACTGCGGACTCAAGACATCCTTATCAAACCGTATGTGAAGCATCAGGGGTTTATTGTTCCAATATCTACATAAAGAGCATGCATGGCTCTTGGCTGTTGGATAATGAATGTGTTAGGGTAGGCCATCAGGCTATGGTGTCTGATTATTTTATTACACTTCAATCTCTTAAATCATAAAATGTATGCATTGCAAATGTTTTTCGTTTTCACCCCTATCATTACCCATGTACCATTTTCTACGTCATTTTTAATGCAAAATAAATCGAAGACACGGCTAAATTACGTTTAAATAGCCGGATAAAATGTGAGTATAACTCCTTCCGAAAAAGAAAAAAATTAGTGTCTTTTATCACAAAAGGTCACCCAAAACATATAGCACCGTCTCTCGCTTTCAGGGGCTTGGAATCACCATAAAGAAACGGGCATTAGGTTATAGATACATTTTTAAAATTTCTATTTCCAATATCTGATTCAGTCTCAATCTGTGATTCATACAATATTTCCATAGAAATTTTAGTAAATTCTGAAGCTTTGGAAGCATGTGGTTTGCACATGGTCCCATTATTTTTAGGTTAATGAGATGACATATGGTGACAGCCGAGAGTAATCATTGTACATCACGTGATGGATGAATGATTGTCCTCGTAGACAGGGTGTGTGGATTGATTGAGAAACATGGAGAGATAGAAAGGAAATATAAGGGGGAAGAAGGAATAGAGAGAAAGAAAAAACCGAAACACAAAATAAAAACAGAATTTTCCAATGATCGAAATATGATTATCTGTTAAAAACAAAAACAAACAGATGTGACAGTAACAGTACAATTAATACTAGTAATAACAGTAGAAGTAGTAGTAGTAGTAGTAGTAGTAGTAGTAGTAGTAGTATAGTAGCAGCAGCAACTGTTTACAGTAAAATTAGTAGTAGTATAGTAGTAGTAGTATCAGTAGCAGCAGCAGCAACAGTAAAATTAGTAGTAATAATAATAGTAGTAGTAGTAGTAGTTGTAGTGTAGTAGTAGTAGTAGTAGTAGTAGTAGTTGGAGTAGTAGCAACAGTAGTAGCATCAGCAACAACAGCACATCGGCGATAGTAGTAGAAATTGAAGGATGAATATTACGAAAAGAAGACCGATCATCAACACATAATGAAAAAAACTTACTCCTGTTTGGGTAATACTTTAAATTCATAATAATATGTTATAGAAATATCAAGTTTCGTTAAATTATATGTACATTTTTTTTTTTTAAATGACATGAAGTTATCTCATAATTTGTTTGTATATCTTATATTATACCTTATGTTTATATGTTCTTTGTTATTCTGTTATTATATTTGGAAAAATGCAGAAATAAAATAAAATCAAATATCTAATATTTGCAATGCTTGTGTGTATCATGATTGTGGCATATCCAGACGGAGCTAGGATTTTGAATCCCCCCCCCCCCTCCCCCTCCCCTTCCGAATCCCCTTATCGGAGAATCTTGGTTCCCACCCTTGGTATAAAATTACCTTGAATCGTGTTTCATAATAATCACGTGATTACACAGTACTGCTTCAGTAGATGTGAACCTGTTATAATGATGATGTCTTGTTGAGATGTGATTACGTCACCATTCACAACTTATTTGAAATGGAAATTAGTTTTCATGGAATCTCGCACTCGAACGTACACCTACGTGGCTAGACCTATAATCTATTGAAAGCCATGATGACTTTAAAGCCAGTTATTTAATTGTATATCTAATGACAATTTGTCCCGCAGCCGTAAAACTGGAGTGTAGTCCCTCAAACAATTACAGATGAAAATAAATCCATATACAATAACACGTAACGTGAGCAAAACAACATACTTAAGATGATAAAACTGTATGCAATTAGGCATGGTAAAGATGACTTAAGTACGTTTCTCCTCCAATAATTGTCTCATTTTCCGCCCGAATGAAAAGAGAGAAAGAAAAAGAATAGCCAGTGACGTAGTGTTTGTCCATCCACGGACTCGATTTGGGGGGGGGGGGGAGGAGGGGCATTGATGGAATCGTGGACGTAAGTCTTGAAAGGCAAATGAAATGAGAATGGACAATACTTTCGGGTAGAGTGAGTGTGTAAACGGGTATGAATCACAGGGTTTTACCGCTATAGCACTTTCTTTCTCTTTATTCTCTCAGGTTTCTCTTCGTTTACAATGTTAACTTTAATTCGCTGTTCGACTAGGAAACATATACCCCTTCCCCCCCCCCCCCCATCAGTTACGCAGCAAATGATATCAGTTACAACTGCATATGATGAATAATAACAAGAAATCTGGCGGACTAGGTACACGACTTGTAACTGATGCACGAAGTTACATCACATTGAGTTAGCTGAGAAGATTAAAGGAAGCATCACCCTCGGTTTACTTAACGATCCTGCTCATTATGGCCCGAATTCACAAAGGAGGTTTGTCGACAAACCGAGGTTTATGTGCGTCATACGACGCGTTTCGACCCGTTTTTACAAACCTTGGTTTGTATAAAAAAAAGGAGGTTTGTCGAAACAAAAGGAGGTTTGTGAATTCGGGCCTATATGTCTATTCAGTCTCTCAATCTATCACTCAATACAATAAATCGTTTAAATAAGCCGTTTGCTCGTGTGACATTTTCTAGTGTGACATATCTACACCTCGAAGAGGGAGCAGTGATACAAACAAACATGTTTTGCTCATTAGCGTTAGCCTGAAATGTTTGAAGGGATTTAATTGCTACGATCAATTAGGTTAGAGATTGTTGTTGAGATTCAACGCGATGTTATTTGTATGCAGAGAAACGAAAAAAAAGCACTTAATTGTGATGTTTTGATTTGTTACCGAAATATTTATTTAAAAAATGATGACTAGACTACTGTAGATAATGGGTTAGTGATTTCGGTTTTACTCAATGAGAACCGTATGAGTATACACGATGCAACTGAAGAAAAATTAAACTATTATTTACATTCTTTATATATTTGTATTTTTTCTCTGTACCTCAGTCTCTCTCTCTCTCTCTCTCTCTCTCTCTCTCTCTCTCTCTCTATTTTTTCTCTCTCTCTCTCTCTCTCTCTCTCTCTGTCTCTCTGTCTGTCTGTCTCTTTCTCTCTCTCCTACTCTCTGCAATTCTCTCTCCTTCCCTCTCTTTCCGTCTCTATCCCACAAATGATCTTAAGAAGAAAAAAGAGTCATGATAAAGAAACGTTATCCATGTCCTTCGAATTGAAGTTGGCTCTTAACATGCTAAAAACGGGAAAATAATTGCAAGGGTGTATAGTATTGCGTAATTAATACAGAGAACACAAAACTGTCCCAAGCATAATGCAACCTGGTTATTTTTTTATCCCCCGTCTAGTGGTGATCGATGTCGTCTGTTTATGCTCAGCCTGATGAGTAATATAAATTCGATGATCTTCCAGTACTCACAAGGTGACAGCGGTGGGATATGATCCAGTGCCCTCACTTTGACTGATGGCTCAAATATCAGCTAATCACAGTAATAACAAATGATGTCGTGCTATATGTTTCCAATACGTCATAGGTGGTTTATCATGTTTTTATCCAAAAGCAATCATCAAACGAAATAAAAATGATATGGCAATTTGAATAAGACGGTGGTGTTACCAGAATAAATCATTTAATTACTAAGTTGGCATATCAAGAGGCTTTCATTTTGAATGATATAAATAAGACCTGACTGGCATACAAGACATTATTGCACGAAATTAGTACTAAGTAAGTGCTCTGAATAATGCAAGAATGACCTTGATAACTTACCTAAAGTTTTGACCGTCTTGACCTCAGTAAACCTCTTCTTGTTGTCACATCGCCCTTGTGGATGGAATGTAAATATCGAGGTTCGTACTCTCCGTAACACTGGTTTAGTCACTTGCACATCCTCAGGTTTCGAATATCCTGTGCAAGCAACCTCAGCAGATGCCGCTACTGTTGAGTTTGCCCTTCCGGTACAACGTGAATTGTGTTCCATCCTGTATAGGTCTGGTCGCCTTCTTGAAGGGGGACAAGAATGGACCTGGTCGTAGTGGGTGCGTGTTTGATAGAGAGACTGGTTATTGATCTTTTGTTGATTTTGTTGGTGGTGGTCATTTAGTTGGGGGGCAGAGTTTCGCCTGAATTCGGCGCCTCGTCGAGACACTTGGTAAATCCTAGTGTAGACAATCACCATGACTAGAAGTGGTATAAAGAATGATCCACACGACGAGTACACAACGTAGAGTTTGTCGACATCATACTCACAGAGTTGCGCTGATCGATTTCGGGAATGTGGCCATCCGATGAGGGGTGGACACGCGATCAAGAAAGATGTTATCCAGACCAGAACGATCATGACCGCTGCTCGACGAAAGGTCTGTTTCCTGACGTAATGGAGCGGAGACGTGATCGAGCGACAACGGTTGATTCCAATGGTACACAGATGTAGGATTGATGCAGTACAACAAGCAACATCGGTGAAGATAAAGAGATCACAAACTCGAGGTCCAAGATCCCATTTTCCGCCTGATAGCTCTACCCGAACAGACAACGGGAGAACCAACATGGCAATTGACAAGTCAGCAATAGCAAGCGAAGCGAAGAAGAAGTTTTCAAAGGTCCTTAGCTTCTTTTCCAAACACACAGCTAAGACTACGAGAGAGTTTCCCAGCGTGGTTAAAGCAATCATCAAACACAAGATGGCTCCTTCAAAGATCTGCTCGGCCGTATCCAGCGAGGTCCATTCTGATCCTGTGTCATTGTCGGATCTGGCTGTGGTGATGTCCAGTGTGATATCTGACATGTCTGACCATAGAGCCTCGGTGTAGGAGACCGCTAGGCCAGGCTTATTGGTGACGGCCAACAGGGTGGGTGAATCCATTGCCATGATTGACGATCATGCGTTACTTGAGGAAGGTAGTAATGGATGGAGCAATAACTAAACATGTACAGAGGTCATCGTGAAGGAATCATCAATATTATCCCTTTGAGATAGGCTTGGGTGGCTAGCAAATTAAGTGTCAACAGCACTTCTCTATTCTGATCACAATCTATTCCATCTACATTAAGTTATGTTTAAAAGAAGTAATCATGGTAACAAATACCAGGAAGATTGGATTATACTATAAGATCTTTTCCACCTCCATTTACAAAAGCACTACTTCACTAGATAATTGTAAACAAACAACACAAACCATTTTCCTTGGTATTATGAAGACGATCTGAGTAGGATATGAAAAGATTTGATCTCCTCCAAACACATCACAGCAGTATTTCGATTAATTAGTCTAGGCTGCACTTCAATATAAGAATATATGAAGATAAGTACTGGCATTAACTCCGAAATGACTCGACCTAATGGCAATGGACCTCAAATGTTAATCATCCACAGTAAAATTGATGATTATAGCGAACGAATCACGGATGAACACAATTAGTCGTTTTATTCCTTTTGTATGTCCTGCAATAAATATCTACACAGTAGATTAACATTAATGTTCCTCTCTTAAGACTGTAGATAAATCAATTCGTGAAGATGGATGTATATTCTGGCGCCAAGGAGAATGCTAAATCTAAAAATACGCTTTCTGGATAACTTTTGTCACGAAAGACTGAGCGGACCTCGTTTCACAATGATGAGGAAGTTTTGATGCTGTTTTTGTTTGGTTCCTATTCACAAGTCATGTAACTCATCCGTCTTGACTTATCGACTGACTAGCGTACGTGGTTGGTCAGTCATCTCGTTGATATGACGACCAAATACCTACCTCCTCCTCCTCCTCCTCCTTCTCCTCACTCCGCATCATTGATAAGCATGAATGACATTGTACACTGCGGATCGAGCAGACGATGAAGCCGAGATTTATTTTATGCAAGCAAAACTACAGCGTGTTGACCCGCTCTAGGCAAGGACCACTATTATGTTAAGATCTATCCAGCGCCCTCTTTTGAAAGCAAAATCATAATTACATGTGGGAAAGTACACTTTTTAAAAAGGCGTTTTATAATCCATAATCTGATTTAAAATTATCCATGATTTCGTTTCCTCTTGCTTATTTTGCATTTCCCTCCCTCTGTAGTAATTTCGGTCTGTTAAACCGTCTTTCTGCGAGCTGTCTGTTTTCCCTCGGGTACATGGGGGGGGGGGGGGGGCGATGTTTCTGTCTCCCCTGGATAATAGTCCCTTTGTGGCAAGGTGTATTTTCATCATCATTAATTGAACACTCTCTTCTTCACCACCACCATCTTTATCACAATCTTTACCATCATTACCTTCATTATCATCATCATCATCATCATCATCATCATCGCTTTCATTATCAATAACACCATCATCATAAGGATCATCGTCATCATCATCACCGTTATCAACGTCACCATCATTATCACCATCATTGTCTTCATCATCATCACCATCAACGCAATCATCATCGTCATCATCATCATCGTTATCACCATCACCCTCATTATTCCCATCATTATCATCATTATAATCATCATCATCTCCTTTATAACCATGATCATTATAGTCGCCATTATATTCCCGTCGTTCAACCGATCAGGCTTTGCATTGAGACATTTTTAGTCGTATCATCCCTCTTTCAGAGACTTGTTTGGAAAGAGGATGACTGCGGGAGATTGCGGGAGGCAGGTCCGTCACTTTGGCATCCTTAATCATGCTAATAGAAGACTTCGGAGCAGGTATAACAACAGGTGAAAATGTTAAAATATCAAAGAGAGGGGGGGGGGGCGCGGGTCTTCATTATAGGATGTGAGTAGCAGAGTAATAATCATTCTATGTTCCCTATAGCAACACCTTTAGTGACAGGGACAGTTTTTTTTTAACCCGCTCATAGATTTATTTCCTTTTCTGAAATCAACATAATCGCAAAGACAAATTGAAATGAATTGTTGCCTTTAAGTCTTCCTTACATCACAGTTAAGCCCACTTTTCAATAAATATAAATAAGCATCATGGTTCAAGGCATGGCCACACAGAGGATTTTTTTCTGTTGGGGACCGGGGGAAAAGGACGTAGGTCCCCTAGTTGGTAGACATATAGTAGCATACACATGCTTTAGCAGTCACGCAAAATAAACACTCACCAATTATAATTTAATAGAATCTGAGAAGGTATACTTTTATCTAGATCTTTTAGGAATAAATCATTGTCAAAATTATTCTATAAAATTGGGATAAAAAACACAATTTCACCTTGATATAAACCAACAGTGTATATAAATGATATCGCTACTTTTAAGAGCACGACACATTTGACCAAGAGATGGCGACATTCATCGAACATATAACTGTCATTACAGACCCTCTGTCAGTGAATCGAATGACAAACAGGGTTTTTTTTATTGATCAGAGGGGCGACTAGAATTTGAGTGTTAAGAAAAAGGACGGAAAGGACATGTATCTTAGAAATACGCCATAATTAGCTTAATGTAATGATATCGCACTCAACTATAAATCTGTTAATTCATTTTAAGTGTATTCTTTTATGTCATGAATATTTTAAAGAATGCTCTTATTTCATTATTTTTGGTTATTAATTCATGCTTCGAGATTCCTCAAGATTCCATCAACATTCATTTCCTTCTTATAATCCAACTGAAAATAGAATAAAATGTATATTTACAATTTTAGAAGGAGTTTTTAATTTCTTAATTCATTTTATTTCCATTTATGTTGTTCTTTCTTTTTGGGTCGATTACCAATGTGTGAATAGATTTTGAATTGCTAATCATCCATTGTCGTTGTTACGTGTGTATTAATTTATAATAACAACAACAAATAATCAAGAAAAGAAAGAAGGAAAAAAGAAAGAGAAGAAAAGAAAAGATGGGGTGCCTCGTAAGGTAAATTGGCTAGGCCCCGCCGCCTGTTTTTTTTTTTTTTTTTTTGGGGGGGGGCACCAGTGGCATTGGGGCCCTGGTCCCGACTGGTCTCACTCGATGGATAAAGAGAACAAGGCTGGTGATTGAATGAGGGGATTTACTTTACCTTCCCCTAGCCCTCCCGCCCTTAAGCGAAAACTATATTTATAGGGAAATTTGAATAAAATACTATGCTCGAAAAAATCATTGATTACAAGCTCTTACTCAGATTTTATTGAAGTCAGGATGGACTTTTATTATTATTATTATTTTCTCAATTGAAGTCTGTTTTTAACCTAAATCGACATAGAGACGTAGACATAGAGGCATGTTTCTAAACTGATAGCCACCAACGTAACATATACTGTTTGCAAACCCGAACTTGTTGAATGTAAAACATGGGAAGCAAGTTAGCTAGCTTAGCTACAGGACGTACCCCAGTGGCTAGTTTCTTAACGTGCAAGGGTGGTGACTCTCCTGTACACGGGGCCTCCATTTAACGTCCTATCCGAGGGACGGAGTGTTTTCCACTTGACATAACCTGCATCTATGAACAAGGGAAGGGGCACGTTAACACACAACGCAGGCTTCAGTCATCCGCCTGGGTGGGAGTCGAACCCGGGATCTTTGGTTCGACAGGCAGACGCTTTACCGACTTAGAAACATGATTAAATAATATATTAACCACCAGGACGCAATATATTATACCCTATTTTCATAATATGTTCGTGGTATAGACTACAGGCAGGTAGCCACGGGGGGGGGGGGGGGCAAAAAAAATTCCAAGATCGGTTGAACTTTTTTAGACCCCTCCCCAGGACGTCGATCAATTACATGTATGTGCCCTCCCCCCCCCCCCCCCCCCCCCCCCAAAAAAAAAAAAAAACTCTGGCTACGGCCCTGATAGACTTATGCATGTTTCCATGTCCCAATTCTTTATTCCGTGTTCACTGTTTCACTGGGATGCTCCCCTCACCCGAGAGAGTGGGAAATGAAATAAAATCGCTCCTTGGACAGTTAGACAATAGTAATTGTTTGGAAAGACAACAATTCAAAGAGGAGCCGCAAACGAAAAGCCCTAAGGGTATAATGATAAAGGGGAGGGGGGCAACATTTCACCCATCCTTACGGATATCCCCAAATCTAAAGTTTGAGCCTGCCCTCAAGTATGACTGGCCCAGATTTCTCTGGCCCACCCACTCCTATTCAACATTTTGGGACTTATTGACAAATAAATTACAAAATGAATTATGGCTGGGTCCACGGAGGGGGAGGGGTGGGGTGGGAGGTATTTATCTCCACCATTTAAATGTGTTTATTTAGGTTCCTTTTTTTTCTTTTTCAGAGAACATTCATTTTCGCTCTTTGCACTTCCCCTATAATCTTTTAGGCAAAATCGATTTCTCAATCTATATAGTTTCAAGATCAAGTCAGGATTTCACTTCCGAATACGATTCCACTTTCAATCACAGAGGGCGCTTTATTCTATAAATAATTTTTCTGAATGAAATCACCGCTGCGCTGTCGCCCATGTAGAAATTCGTCAAAATTACCACAGAATGGCCGCCCAAAGGCCGATAGATTGGGTGGCACTGCTCATTCTACGTTTTGAAGATCAGGTAAGATGATTGATTGTATTTATAGTTTGATTTAAGGGTACATTGGAAAACTGATTTTATGTTAATTTAGTCGACATCTTTTTCAGCTACCAATTTGCATTGGACATTGCATTGCCAGTGCAATGAATGGATAGCATCTGCATTGAGATTGTGCACAATCCTGGTCGAACTGACTACACATCATGACATGGACCGTGCAGTGCAGTGCTAGTGCTCTACTCCTGGCTGTAGATCTAGTAAAAGTAATGTTTCAGCAGTATTCAGCTTGCTATGTACAGGGTAAATTCTGCTGCTGGAGTCTGCAGACCAATAAGTCAATGAATGTTAATTGTAATTGACAATGACAATCATTTGATTTGAGTGTGAGTGCAGTGCAGAGAGTGAGAGTCATGAGTATGAGAGTTCACGCGTCCTGGGCCGGCATAATCAAACGTGTAAAATCAGACGATTAATTTAGATTCAGAATCCTTCTTTGCTCCTTGAAAAGTATAAAATTAGGCAATATCGTGAAATAGGCCCCGCAACTTACCCGTCTTGTAATCGATTACAAATTATCTCAGACTTCTAACTTCACTCTTCAGCCAACATTTTCATGACGGTAGGCACATTCATGGGGCACTAGAGGGCGCTTCGCGAGCGTACGAAAATCTGAATGGCCTTGCTGCGGTGGGTCGGCAATAATCAGCCCAAAACTTGGATATGGGAGGGTGGAAGGATATATCTTTTTTATAATGTTATCCGGTCTTACCCCTAACCATCCTATGTTTAATCTATGTAGAAATAACATGCGAGTACGATAAGAGAAACATCGGGCCCATTACTGATGCAACTTTTTAAATATTAGCCTAGAAATGACCACCAAACGGAAAAAAATGACATTTTTTTCCGACAAATCTTCATAAAATCTGAG